TATTGCTCTTTAAACCCTTGTTTGAAGGTCTCGAAATCGGTGAAAGAATTTAAATATGCGCGACTCCACAACATGGCTGAGCCTTTAAACTGGTTGGCTAACAGGAACCGTAAACACTCAAAAGAAATTTTTTCAAACCTGTAAAAATATTCAATTTGGGTAATGAACTCCATCGGATGTGAATTTTCGGATCCATCAAATGATGGAAGTTTTTTTACTAAATCTAATGAGCCCGTGGACTTTACATTTTGTTCAATTACTTGTCTGGACTTATCATTTCCCTGAATAACATTCATTTTCGCTAAAGCTGATACAATTTGTGTAACTAAATCGACCATATCAGTTTGGGTATTACCACAAGAAGTGTTAATAAAATTATCATGTTTAACCTTCGTACCGCTGTTTTCCCTATTCTGATTGGTGATCACCTGTGATGGTAGATCCGGATTCCCAGTATCATTTGGATCTTGCCGCTTTTCATCATATTTGAGATCTTGAATATGGTAAGATGACCTGGACCGCATTTCTGGTGTCAAGTCTTGCAACATCTGATTTTCCAAAGCTTCGCATGAAATTGCTCCCGGCCAAATTCTTGTGTCTGCGACTTCCCCCTTTGACTTGAAAAACTTAGCTTGCATACCTGTAGGTGTTGTAAACAAATCAGGCAACCGGAACTCTTCATGTTTTTCCCAAATAGAGATATCGGTTCCGTGTTGACCTTGTGGGTTTTGCGATACCTCGTTTTGGGACGAATTAAACAAAGATCGCCTACCTTCATTGATTGTTCCGTCTGATAAATGACCTTGTTTGTAATATACCTTTGGTATTGCTCCCAGATGCTTTTCGTTCGCTTTCGGTATATTTGCTACTTTACTCTTGCTTCGTAACGAGTAGCCCCCTGCCACTTCTTCCTCTGTCTCCATATTCGCCTGGTTTTTGTTCGACGGCGTTCTAGATAACGGCATTGTGCCCTAGTTGGGAGCCAAGATGTACCAGAGCTTAGGGTGGGTGAGTAAAACCACAATGCCAAAAAACCCAAAACTGATTTTATTGCCGGCCGTGAACAAGAAAACTAAAATAACATTGCATAAACAAAAAAATCTCTCTACAAACCTAACAGCCCCTTACCTAAAACCAGGCAGCGCGTTACCAAAATTAAAAATTTTGTCCCAGCCGCAACCCACAGGATTTAAGTAGTCTTAACCGCGACGCAACAACAAATCAAAATGAGCTCTCTCATAACCAAACCAAACACGCATGTCACCTGAACATCAAACCTTATCAACATTAGTCCACGGGCGTAATTTTAAAGCTTACAAGTGGCGTTCATTCTCAAACGAATAACTAAAATAACTATTAATTCTAACGTGCAAATTAATATCCTGTACAGTACAGGGCAAAATATTGGGTGGCAGAAATTGAAGGATGTGGTCAACAACGATATTAACTAATCGTTTTCTGTGTGGATCATCTAATATTTGCTCCCGTTTGTAGTAATTTATTATTTCTCGGCCACCAGGGTGCGAAGAAATAAACAATTTGAGTTCCTTTTGGAAAAAAATAAGTATATCAGAAAACCTTTTGTATTGTGAAATAAGTGAAAAAAAATTTATGAAACAATCTATTTTTCCTTCAAAAACTTTTAAAGTTTGAAGAAAAAATAACTTATTAATGGCTTTGGTGCAACAATCCTTCTTATAGCAGATGTTACTAAATATTGTTAAATTATTACTAAAGGTACCTAATATTATTTATTTTATTAATATTACACTTCCACAAAGTATTTGTTGATCTCATCAATTATCATTTAAGATATGTATTTTGTTAATATCTTGTGGAAGTTCATTAGTGTGTTTTTACGAATAAAATGATAGTCTTCTACTTTTTCGACAAATACTTTTTATTTGCCTACCGATTCGAACACCGATCAGCAAATAGTTTTTATAGTAAAAGATTATATTTAATCACTAAACGAAAAATAATATTAGGCACATAACTATTTAAAATTATTTTTGATATGCATTTACCTCAAGAGCAACTCGATGGTACGGAATTGCTGCTGTTTTTGCTCTTTTTGTGCGAGGTGTCCCAACGTCGTCGTCGTCGTCGTCAAAGCTATTTATAGATGAAAGGGTTGATCTGCTCGAAGCCGATGATCCAGGCTCAACTGAAAATGTATGGCTGCTACTGCTGCTACATGTATCAGATTTTTCAAGACAGATATTGTCCGTATCAAGAGGAAGGCCGAGAACGTAATCTAAAAATTTAAAAATGGACTTGGTGAAGTTACCTGTATTAACTACTAATATGTTTTATACCTGCAGTTGGTTCTATTGTCTGTATCTTAATTATGACACCAATTGGAGATATGCTTAAATAGGTGGCCATAAAATTATTCCCTATCACCGCTCCATCAACGTCTGTAAGATCAAACTCTTTCCCAATTACTTCCGGAAAGGTATTACACGCTAAAAAATATATGTATATTAGAAACTATTGACTAGCAACATCTTTTGAGACATCAAAATACAATACAGGGAATTGACATCAAGAGTATTAAATACTGGACATTACATACCAAACATATGTTTACCATTTCGAGTTGTGGGTGGTGCTCTAGTTTATTTAACCAGTTCTGCTATAGATGTTACAATTATTGATACAACTGTTATCTGAGTTAAAAATTTTAGCACGCATAAAAATACATATTGAATGTATTGATATACCAACCTATTAATTTTAGGGTGTCGTGCTGTATATCGGTTAAAGTGACCCATTCCATTCGATTTTTATATTTAAAACGTACGAAGTATTGCTCAGAAGGTGCTGAAGAAGAATTTTCATTCTACAAGAGAATCTTTATTAAACGAGACGAGAAACCAGATAATTAATAATGAAAAATACGTTTCCAAATTAAAGACTTTTTGGTATGGCAAAAAAAATTAATACCAAAAAGATATTTTTGAATTCGTTGAATTGTAAGGGCGGCATATTTGGAGGAAAACACAAAAATTAAAATGCGTTCAATACCTATTGTAAAAGCGATGTTGAAGTCTTTTAATATAGCAATTAAGCAATAGTAAAAGTATGACAAATCAAAATTTTACGTTCAACTAGGTACCTAAGTATTTGTTATAATTTTGCTAACAATTACAATTAATTCCAACAAACGCCACAATAAATTAATTAGTATTAAATAAACTTACCATTATTAATTGTTGACACAGAACCGCACAGTACACACTCACGTGTCGAATTAGTAACGATAAATGCGCTCTTTTTAAGCAGAAGGAAGCTACACTTCTTTGGGTATTCATGCAATATCACCAAGTTTTGTGTTACAGGCTATTTTAGTTAGAGTGGCATCAAAAAATGCCAATTATGCTTTCGTAAATGCACTAATTTCCAAGCATGATATCTATAATAACATTCCCTTTTGTTAAAATGGCATTCATGATAGTGCCAATTTGCCTTTTAAATTTTGCAGCAATAGCGTAAACAAGATTTACTTTTAGTTTAAGTAGTTAATTTATCAATTTTAGAAAAAAGTTTTGCTACATGTATCTAAATGGGATAGTTCTTATTGTCAAATTATTATAGCAATACAGTCAAACCAACTTTTGATGAACGCACACATATGTACGTTGATTTTACATTTCATAGTGTCGATATGTCACACATTGGTGCAAATTAACAAACCATTAGTTTCAGTTTCAGCTTTATTGTAATCATATTATAACAAATACATGTTTTACGTAAATGTCAGTTTTCTGCACATAAAGTTGCACATGTCAATGCAAGTAAAACATCTATTGTTGGCAAAATAACAACATATTTACTTAGCACAAACAAACGTACTAGTAATGCATTTCAGACAAAAATTTAAAGGAGATATGGCTTTTAAAAAATTGGCACTTACAAAATAATGTAGAGGATGCCATTTTGACTATTCATTTCTTACTGTGTAGGTGTAACTATCAATTCTACTTGTCGCAGGCGATCTGTAAAATCTATCCGTTAAAACAACTCTCGGTTCACCGTTAATCTCAGTTCGTCAAAAATGTTTGAGAACGGAGTAATCTACGGTGGAGAATTGGCACGTCGACTCAGTAATTCATTGACATATCCACAAGTCGAAAGGTGGAGTGCGACAGGTGTTTAGACATACTGTTAACAGAACCACTTGCGAAATGTCAACTTTCACCGCAAGCGTCACATCACCTGCGACAGGTAGATGGGTTATTGGTTCATATGGAACTGTTTACACGAGGATACTTTTTCATTAGCCTGCCGCTGCACTAAGAATACGATGCCAAAAAGACATATCACTACGAAACAGCAGTTTAGAATGCTCAAAGTTTACAAAGTATATTTGACATGAATTCTAACGATATACTGTATCACGCTGGTACAGTATCCCCCTGTAAGAGTTTTCTAAGTGTTTAGTTTTAAATCGTACCGCATAACGAAATAATCAAGACAATAAGTAGTTTTGCGATCATTTCCAAACTTTGCTTTTCGTAAGTTCCAATTTACAATGTATTACCATGGGTACATTTTTATTTTATTATAATAATTATAGGTTAGGTATTAAATTTTTATAAAATTTGCCCTTAGGCTCGTTTGACACGTTACAATAATTTTAGTAAAATTTAATGAAAAATTATTATTTTAATGAAATTGTAACGCTGCATACACGACTCATAAAATTGTTACAATTTTTTGTACAAAATATAAAAATTTATAGGATCAGTTCTATATTTTATGAGAAATCTTACATTTTCTGCGCCAATAAATGCGCAGAACGTCAAGTTAATATAACAATAAAGTTAGGTTAGGGTATTATGCAGCTGTAGGACGAATATTTAAAATGGCATGGTCGCAGCGCGAAGTTTGTGTGCTAATAGAAGAATATAAGAAGCACCCCTGTTTGTACGCAGTCAAAAGTAAACAATATACCAATAAACATTTACGGCAGAAAGCACTGGAAGATGTTGAAGCTGCCCTGATATCAATAAAACCACATATAACAATAAATGAAATTAAAACAAAGTTCAATGGACTAAAAACAACATTTGCAGCAGAGCACAAAAAGCATTTACAAAGTTTTCGGTCTGGAGCAGGAAACGAAGATGACGTAAAGCTTGGTTTTAACACGAATTATTTTTTCATGTGTACGTTTTTAGATATACACGCCCAAATTGTGGTATTATGAAAAGTTAAAAGTTCCTTTTGGACCACATTGACACTCGTCGGTCGATTGACTCGTTCCAATTAACCGAAAGTGTGAGCCAAGGGGTAGAAGAAACCGAACGTAATGTAAGTGTATACCATACGATATGATTCCCGTCACTGTATTGAAACTTATTTAGGAAACGGTAGATGATTACATCTTACGTGAGGGTGAGGATGGTTCACTAGAGCTAGTTGCATTTAATGAGGAAACACAAAATGATATGGATTTGTCGCAGCCTCCAATAATTGTTGAAAGTGATGTTTCTGAAGACAGGAGTTCTGTTTACAAACATGTACAAAGGAGTAAACATTCACAAAAGAGGAAACTTGCTAGTTCCGACGCTGTTGTTGCTGAGGCATCAAATACATTAAAAAATATTAGTAACCTTATATCCAAGCAAAGTAATAACACAAAAACATCCAGTAGTGTTCATAATGAGAATGATATTGCTTTCTCACAGTTTATTGTGACAAAATTGAAACAAATATCTAATGATGATATTCGTTTAGAAGTTGAAGAAACAATCACTAGATGTTTATATGACGGAATAAGAAGGTGTAGCCATAAGTAAAACTTGGTTTTTTATTTTTTCCTGTAAATTGTTTTAATACAAAATAAATTACAATGGATTTCAATAATTACCTTTTATAACACATTCATTTTGCCATGGTACACTCCCTACGTTCGAGTTAAAAAAGTGTCTAAAGTTATCACGAACTTCACGTGCTTGTGTGGACGATCTGTTACCTGTTTGTCGTTCAATATTTTGTAATGTATCTTTATCGGAATCTTCTAAGTTAAGATAATACTTTTTATTGTTTGTTGCTAGATAATTGTGCAACAATACACAGGTTAGTGTAATTATTTCAACTTTTTCCGCATTTAAATTGATGGGTTGCAATAAAACTCTAAATCTATTGGCCAATATACCGAATGAGCTTTCAACCATTCTCCGTGCCCGAGAAACCCGGTAGTTATAAACACGATCTTCAAAAGATAATTTTTTATGAGAATAGGGTTTTATGAGATTAGTCAAACTAGGAAATGCATCATCTGCGATAATCACATAAGGTGTTAATACATCTTGACCTGGTAAATAAGTCGGTTGAGGAATATTTAAAGTTTCTGGACAGTCTTTTAATGCAATTCCCAACGAACTTTGATTAAATACTCCCCCATCACTAATTCTACCATTCACTCCAATGTTTACATATCGAAATATGTAATTAGCATCTACTAGTGCTAACAGTACAATGCTATTATTTCCCTTATAATTATAAAAATAACTTCCTTGAGAAATCGGTGCTCTAAATTGTATGTGTCTCCCATCTAAGGCTCCCAGGCAGTGCGGAAATTGCCACAACTCATCAAATTCTGCGGCAATCTTCTCCCAATCTTCTACGATTCTTGGCATCTAATCATGTAACAGAATATGAAAAGGGAAACTATGATAAATTTGGATGTGCTTACATTAATATACTTTTCAGTTAAAACTGTAATGATCGCATTACATACTGCAGGTACGAAGCGTGAAATTGTTGATTCGTGTATACGACAACCATACATTAGTGATCGGAATGTTTCCCCTGTCGCTAAGAATCTTAAAGTTACCTCTAATCTAAAAATAAAGTAACATCAAGACTATGACATACTGCAACACAATATATTTACTTGCTTTGTGCGGGGATACTGTCTCTCATAAACGTATTCGATTTGGAGATTAGTTTCGTTATCAACTTAAGAATTTCATCAAATTGTGTATCTTGTAAACGCAAAAAATTTCTGTAGAAATGGGGGTCCTCAAATTTCAATTCTCGATTAAGTAAACTTAAAACACCTTGATCTCGATTTCTTCTTTCTAACCAAGCTCTACTCCATAATTTACGATTGCATCTCCTACGTGTAGTTTTGTTTCTATTCAGTAATATAAGTAACACCGAAATACACGCGGCACTATAAATATATAGCATATCATACTATAAGAGTGTTTCTTTTTTAAATTTTTTCTCTAATTATAAGATATCTTATAATGTTAAGATAATAAGATAATCTTATAATTAGAGAAAAAATTTAAAAACGAAACACCGTTACGTCATTAGTAGTACCTATCATCAGTCTGTAAAAAAAATCAGCTTCATTCGTCCAACCGTAACCTAGTTATATCCGTAGAAAGTTCGTGAAAAACCGACTAAGAAATGTTTTTTTACGGAGTTACCAAATGTGCGCGATTTTTTTAAATATTTTTTTAAGAACTATTATCAACGTTTTCATTTGGTGTATAACTTATTTTCTCGAAAAACAACCTTTTAGAATTGGTACCGCAAGAAGTACCCGCAGCGCCTTAAGTCATATGACCTGAGGCGGCAGACGATCGATTTTAGCATACTCTGATAGGGCAAAATGGAACTCCATCGGTTAAAATTTTGATCATTCTCGTTCAGTGGATTTCGTGCTAGCTCCCTTACTATTATAGTGGTTTAAAAGAAGTGATAAAGAAAGTCCCGGTAGCTTAGCGGTAAGCAGTTAGGACTTGGAATTTGAAGATCACGCGTTCGAACCCGAGCGCGTGCCCGTTTGTTTTGTATTAATTATTTTTTTTATTTTGTATTAATTATAATTATAATGTTACAATGGGAAAGTTGTTGCTGAAGATTTAATTTATATGTAGGGAATTGCATTTTGGCCATACCTTGAAATTTGAAGCCGTTAGAAAGGTTTTTAGGTTAAAGTTTTCGTAGACGCGCAAGTTTTTCGGTTATAATTTTTTTAAGAGACTTGCCATACGGGTACGTTCAATGGGGAATATTTAGCTCGAATTATTAGCTATCGTACGCACCGCTCCCCGTCCGAAACGATCGAAAAATAAAGGTCCAGGAAATTTTTTTGTAAAAAAAAAAAAACCGTTAGGTCGCGTATTTACCAATTTTCTTTTATAATTTTTAAACGGTAATTCGTAGGTACGTACTTACAATGGGAAAAATTTAGCATAATTAGTTCTCTCTTTAAATTGACCTCTCCGAAGAAAATCGAAATCGTTTTAAGCCCGTGGCGAGGGGTTAAATTTTTTAAAAATTTCCCATAACAAAAACCAGAGAGTCACGTTGGAATTTAAATCCGCTCCTTAAATAAGAAACTCGGGCAACAACTCGATTTTCATTTTTAATTTAATTAAAATAGATTCGATTTTGATGCAAATTTTATGAGACCTTTTTGAGACGATTTCGAATCGATTCCGAGAATTTCGCTACTGGGAAATTCTCCTGAGCGGCTGGAGAGCATCGTCGTGGAGGTGCGCGGGCTCGGATAAAAATTCGCCTTGGCTATACGGTTTGAGTGAGGACGTCGAGGCGCCGGCTAAGGTAGGTAAGGATAGTTGGGGCAACTTTCGATGGGGTTAAGAAATTTCCCCCGGCACCCGTCGGGGTAGCTGCCATAAGAAGCGAAAAAGTCGAAAATTTTAGAAAAAAATTCGAAACTCGAAAACGTTACCGAAATTCCCCTTGCGGTTTTCCGGTGATCGAGGGGGACGGGGAGGAGCGTAATCGTGCCGCGGTAGCATCCCGGGGAAAAGTCGAATTTGGAAACGGCGCGACCCGGAGGGTCGCTCTCGAAAAGGTGGTTTTTCGCATTTTCCAACTTTGACGCTTTCCGCAGGCCGAGCCGTTAGAGTTAGAGCAAAACGTACAATTGCGCGATTGTAGATCTCGACGAGATCTACGAGACGAGGGGTCGCGGGTCGCCCTACCACCCCCCGGAGGGGGGTGAGTGGTGAAAAACGGGAGTTTTTGAATAGCGCGTTACGGCGAAGAGATACGGGGTCGGAATCGGCTTCGATACATGCGGGCAAGTTTTCTCTTTCTTTTTCCGTTTAGCTCGAGGAGGTAACTCGGACGACGGCGCCGTGGTAAATTTTCTCCCGAAGGTTTAAACAAATTTTCCCCTGTAAAAAATTGGAGCTTTTCGGGAGGGACTAGATCACAATAAAACGGACGTTTGTCCAATAATTTTATTGAAAATGTAGAGATTTTGTGCAAGTTTTTTGACATTTTCAAATTCGAAGAGGTTCTGAATTGTTGAATAGAATAGGTTTACCGTTTACCTATCTTTATCTATATAAAACACTAATTACCTACCTGATGTCTATAATTGCGTTTAAAATTTTCTCGTCACAAGCGGGCCTTAGATAAAGAAAAAAAATATTAAGATGTGCTTCCTTATCGACGTGAATACGTGTCAAAAAAAATTGAAGAGATAATTTAGCGGTAAAGAACACGTGCTCTTGTAACTGTGCACAATCATTAGATATTGTATTTCTTCACAAAAGCCGCCGCCGCTTCGGCAGCATTTGAGATAATGTTGAGATAAACACCTGCAGATACTACAAGTATTTAAAGGGTGAAATGTTATTTTTTCAAGTTAGTTCAAGTGCAAGTTTCAAACCATAAAGATCGTAAGTATAACACTTTACCGATTTGCATTTTTATATTTCAAAATTAGTTTTTCTGAATTTGTTGTAATTAATAAAGTAGGTATGTCATTTAATCAACGGTAAACCTGGTCTCCTAGGTATTATGTTAACGTATTTTTTTTGTATTTTTCAGAACATACAATGTCTGTCGTGTCAGGTAATACATAATTGTAATTGTAAAAAATAAAATAGCTAATACTTTTGTATATTTCTTTTAGAAAATGAAATTGGAGTAGTTAAGGAGGTGGTTGGCGAGGTCCATCGGGACGCCGAAAGCGTCGACCCGAAGACGGATGTGTAAGTTAACCACAGAATCAAATTTATATTACATAAGCATTTCTATTTATACACGTGTTTCTTACAATTTTTCTTTCTGTAGAACTCAGAACCATAAGAGTAGACGGGGACGTGGAAGATCCCGGGGACGTGGACGGAATCGGGATCGGAGACGTGGACGGAATGGGAGAAGTGGACGGGATCGGGGACGAGGGCCACGACGACATCGTGGTCGAGAAGAGGCAAAGGTAAGATTTAAAAAAAATAAATTTTAAAATCACTAACACGCCAGCAAAAGCTGGTAGTTACAAGATTGATTGATTGCTTCTGTAAAATGTAAATTCAAAAATTTCAGAGATACAAAAAAAAGTAATTTATTTTTATTTTTTTTAGAAGACCATCAGCCCACCGGCTCCGCCGACACCGGCTGGGACATCGGCGCAGCAAAATGCCCCCTCACAAGGGGGCAATACATTTGTATTTAATTTTTATTATAATTTAAAATAAACATACTTTAATTATATAACGTGTTTAGATTTTATCCCGATCTGTCTCGTACAGGCCACATAAATTGAACCATCAAATCGAAAAAAAATTATTACAACCATATCCTAGTCCTTATTTCATTTACATTTAAATTTAAAACGTGTTACAAAAAAAATTCAATTCTGAACATTTTTTTCCTAGCTTTACTACAACAATGATAAATATCATTGCATCAACTGGCATTAAGTGATCGATCCCGAGAAGAACTTGTCAATATCGAAGTGGCTTTCTTTATTTGAATGACAGGAATTCGTACTATGTCTAGACACCTATCGCACCCGATCTTTTGGTTTGTAATGTTTATGAATTTCTGACTCGACCTGTCACTGGTCCTGGATAAATGGCTCCGTTCTTAAACATTTGTAACCAACCAAGATGAATGGTGTACCTGTAGGTCACCTGTGACAGGTAAAATTGACAGGTGTACTTGGTAGGTGTGTGTGACCTTATAAGACTGCGCTTTTGCACGAAATACAGTCGGTCGCAAGACATCTATCTCCTCAGATATACCTGTAACATTGAACGTTATAGTAGCTATAGGTGTAACTATCAGTTCTACTTGTCGCAGGCGATCTGTAAAATCTATCCGTTAAAACAACTCTCGGTTCACCGTTAATCTCAGTTCGTCAAACATGTTTGAGAACGGAGTTATCTACGGTGGAGAATTGGCACGTCGACTCGGTAATTCATTGACATATCCACAAGTCGAAAGGTGGAGTGCGACAGGTGTTTAGACATACTGTTAACAGAACCACTTGCGAAATGTCAACTTTCACCGCAAGCGTCATATCACCTGCGACAGGTAGATGGGTTATTGGTTCATATGGAACTGTTTACACGAGGATACTTTTTCATTAGCCTGCCGCTGCACTAAGAATACGATGCCAGAAAGACATATCACTACAAAACAACAGTTTAGAATGTTCAAAGTTAACAAAGTATATTTGACATGAATTCTATCGACATACAGTATCCCCCTGTAAGAGTTTTCTAATTAGTGTTTAGTTTTAAATCGTACCGCATAACTAAATAATCAAGAGAATAAGCAGTTTTGCGATCTTTTCCAAACTTTGCTTTTCGTAAGTTCCAATTTACAATGTATTACCATGGGTACATTTTTATTTTATTATAATAATTATAGGTTAGGTATTAAATTTTTATAAAATTTGCCCTTAGACAGTCGACAATTTGCCAAAGAAGATTATATTTATAATGAACAAATTTTATACTACCTTATATACAGGGCGTGTTACAACAAAATATACAAATTGGTTTAATAATATTGGTAACGCCAACGCTAATTGATCATCTAGAGAAGATAATTAATAGCAATTGTAAAAGTTTGTAATATGAGGTGTGATCGTTATATTTGGGTGGCTTACGCGAAACGTAAAAAGGTAAACGAGACGCGTATTTTTACGGTAAAACTGGCTTACTTCCTTCATCCATCGATGCTACAATTTAAAGTTATGCTATTTTGATATGTTATAGATCTATAAATAAAATTCGCAATGAATATGTGGATAGCGATCAACTTAACTTAAAAAACCTTCCCCGTAATTCGTTGATGATCCTTGGGTTGTAACAATTAACGTTCAAAAAATAAGTTAAAGGTTACCCGATTTCAAATTTAATTACCATGGATTTTATGCGGAGATGTACTTGATCGGCTTTATGGTTCAGTGGTAGAGCATTGTACTATAAAACCGGAGGTCGGGCGTTCGAATTTGGATTAAGGTGAATTTTTCATCTGTGGCAAGAGATGAGAATTACCTTAGACCAGTTGCATTTTGCCGGCTATTCCGAATCAGGTTTTCCTAATTCGTAAGGTAAATACTGCAGTAGTATAGAACAACTTAAGACCTTCTGCACAGGACCTCTAAAAAGCATTATGCAGGTCACTCTGTAATTGGGCGCAAGCCTTTCGAGAGCCCAAAACAAAAGAGGGATAATAAATAAATAAATTTATTCGAATTTACAATTTATTATCATATAGGTACCTACTACGAAAGTACCTATACACATTTGTTGAATATAACTTTTGATAATCTCACATTCGAAAAAGTTCAAATATTGATATATACGCTTTTAAAATTCAAATTGAATAATAATAATAATGTTTATTGTCCCAACAGATAGAAGCTTTCAAAAAGAACAAAATTATATAGCTACAGCTCAAGTGAATGCAATATAAATAAACGTTGCCGTTAACATAATGATCGAAAAATAAAATCGATTTGCCTCTAAGCTACACAAAGCAATATTAGATTCGAATGAAATTGAATAATACCCAAAAATAAAAATTATTTTGCCGTGAGGCTACATAAATGATGCGGAAAATTATATTTACAACAGCATCAACAACATATGAAAATAATGATAAATTAATTACATTTAACAATAGCTTTAAGTTAGTAATACAGATATTAATAAAAATCACATGTTATAAAATGAAGAATTTTTTTAAGAGTTTGTTCGACATTGAGATAGGTAAATGAAAAGTTAACTACATGCCTAGATGACAGACGTGGAACAAAAAATGTTATACAATTGTACAAACATGTAAAGTCAATATTATTTTGCAATAAAAATTACATAGAAAAGCAACACTTATACACTTCCTGCTTGTACTTAAGGATGCAAATTGAAATTTTTTCAACAGAATGTCATTTGCGTAATCTCTCACCGGGTAAAAGCGCTAACTTAAGTATTTGAAGCGAGACGGTTGAAATTAGTTAGGTGATGAATCTACAAAAAAAAATGAAAATTACTACAAATGAAAAAAGTAGGTACCTTCTTTTTTTACCTGATGTTAACAACGGCATGCCATGCAATACTTTGACAGGCGAATGCACAGCAATTCGACTCAATTAAAAAGAAGAATCGGAAGAACGAATAAGCAGAAACTAAATGATTTGATAATACAGGATTATTACAGATAGATGATGTTATCGATTTCGATTGAAAATAAAAATGGATTGGTATGTTTATAATATACTAAATATTTTTCCTAAGAATGTATCTATCTTATTTCTTTGTATGATAAATAAAACTAGATTAATGCACGCTTGCAATTATCAACATTATTTGTAATAACCCTGTATAACGTATTTCAAAAGGCGAATCGTCTTCAATTGCCATCATAAATCTGAAACGATTATTACGTACCTACAATAAAAATAAATATTTTATTTTCAATTATAACTCATATACGCACTCAACTTACTTCGAATGGCACGGTATATTTTTTTCAACCCTGCTGCGTTCGGATGTATACCATCACTGAAATTTTCCAAATTAATACCACATACAAAATATCATATGAACTCATCATCATATCAACTGAAACAAGGCGTACAAATCGATAAGTTTAAAAACATCACTGCGATTAGAGCATATATCTCTAATCGCCGCATTGTATTGGGACAATTCGATTTGTACGCTTTGCCCAGTACGGATCATGGGAGGAACGGTGCACAGCAGGGCTCGATATTGTAACGTCCATTTCCTTAAGGTACGTAATAACCCCTTCAAATTTCTAATGGCAACGGAAGCCTTTACGCCTCTTGAAATATCGTTCGTACCAATCAAAATAACCAGAGGAACATTCCGTGGCACAAACCATTTAGAAGCTGCATTACGCGACCTCTCGATTCTTCGTCTTAATTGCGTTATAGTTTGGCCCCCGATACATAAATCCACCAAACGCTTGCCGTGCATCCACCGAACTTTCCGTTTGCACACCGTTGCCAACATCCTTCTTAATATACTGTCTCCCAAATAAAATTCCATCACTACAAATGTTGATAAATATAATAAGTTACTATCAATCGTCAAGGTAATTCAAAAAATACTTACCACACTTTTAATGAAAATTAAAAAGGAAACACACACACACACACACCCTTGTATTACAGACTGCGTGTCTTCCACTGATCTCAATAAAAATTAAATAGAGATTAGTGGTATCTCCATAATAAAAGGAAAACGTTTACATTTCTTAAAAAAATCCCACAATTTAACGTTCCCATTTCTTAAACTGCATTTCAAACTTTTATAATAATAAAGGAACGACTAGCTAAAATTGTGTCCAATATGGTTTTTTCGGTATGATACCGGTGATTTTCATTTGTTTCCCTCTACTCGCCCCATATTCTACAAATTCTATTGTAAAAATAAATTGGGAATGTAATGCCCGGTTTTGCAATTTGGCAAAGAATTATTTAATCGAGACGCGAAGCTGAGGGTATGTCCCGTCACCTATCAGGGTAAGGTGACTAGATGGGTTCTTATCGCTGTATACATGATACTATCAAGTCGCTGTGTTGATCCCCTACACTATATTTTTTAAAAGAGTCACGTTTGAATCTACATCCGCTACCTTATTACGCCAGTGGTGCCACTTCACTTCTAAAGTTCGTGATCATCTCCGGATACGACACGGTGTAACTTGGACGACATTCTTTTGTAGAAGATTTTTAATTTCATTTTCGATCATCCACACATTTATGTAGTTTTTGAAGTGTTTGTTTTATTGGTAAGTCAATAGTGTTATATGATTTAATTTATGTAACAAGTATTTTTTCAGATTTCGAAGAACACGTTTTTTAAATTTATATTTGTAGGTTAAAGGAAGAAGATTAGATAGTCCTCGACGATCGTCTATTATTCATTGTCTTTGTTTCTGTACTTAATTATCTTGTAAGTAACAAATTCCTAATATATAATATATTGTGCGAATGTGAAAACACTTCTTTTAGTTTTTCAGATTACCTCATCGGTATCGATATGCCCCGACCCAAACGGTTAACTGGAGCTGCATTAGCCAGTCGAAATGCAAAGATTCGTAGACTATGTATGCATAACTTTGATTCTGTTAACGGATTAATGAAAACTATTCTTTTAGCTTCAAGTACCGATTCCAATCATAGCGTGACCGATGATGTCCAACCAATCGTTGCGGTTGCTTCACAATCGGGAAAGGAGGTTAGATTGAAAATTACGTTTATATTATGATTGAATTGAGCAAACGAATTATTGAATCGGTTACACGCAAAATCATGTAAAAGTTTTGTCCAAACAATCAGTTGCAATTTAGATTGAAAGTGTACTGTTAAGGCACTTATCGAGTAATCATTACGAATGGACAAATCAAGGCAGAATAAGCATCAAGTGCCTGCCGGACTGTACGAGGTACATTCGGTTGTGCTGCATTTATACCCTTAACCTGATCATTTCTTATTGATTCATTAAAACCTTGGTGTGCTTCGGACTCGATACTTTAGTATGTGTGCCCCTTTATATAATTAAATCAACTTCTATCCGATACTGCATAATTACAATGCACTTTTTAAATTTATTTCTGACAATGTAATGACATTGACCACATTGTAAATCTGTGAATATCTTGTGTGTTACTACATGTTTAGTTACGTTTGTGTTCCCGGTTAATTTTTTTTAAATGTGTTGTTTTGAACAATATAGGCCGTCCGTTTAAACAGACACCATGCATGACAAACACATTAGGCAGTAAACATGTTATTAAATTTTTTATGTTGTGCAGTATAATTTGAAACAGTTTCGAAGATGAGATCTTACACTACATTTGTTACAACCAAAATGTGCCTTTTTGCCACAAAATTACATTGTCATTTTGTGTTATTAAATTCAATAGGTGTTTTCTAATAGGTATTGTTAGATGGTGATTGAACAATTTTTTCTCGGGATGAATATTTATGACTATTCAATTCATCTAACATTTGTCACATTTCGACTAGTGAAATGTCGAGATTTCAAATTGTTGAGCCAATGGGAACGAATTATAGTGATAATTTCACGTGTGGTATTTCAGCGACAATTCAATTCGATTATTCAATGACATTTGTCAAACTTCCACCAGTGAAATGACGCGAAATTTTGTCGTATTACCCGGAACATTCTTCTTAGTTTGTTAATCAATTTCGACAACCGACTTATCACCACATCTTTTAATTTAATCACTCATAACGAATTAGCTTGGAGCACAAAAGTTCGAATAGAATCAATAGCAAAATGAAAAGCAACTTCCATAATTTATTTTGACGTTTAATGTTGTCATGGAAATACATTCGCGTGGGTAATTATGCTTAATTTTTCTTTTGATTCATTGAATAGTCCTCCGAATACCATTCGTAGTCGACGTATTTGTAGATTATTTTTGAGCTGCTGCTCCACTCATGCTAGTTACGCTTTTTAATACCACTCGCGCAAGCGCTCGTGGTATTAATCAGCGTAACTAGCATTCGTGACAGCACCTCAAAAATATTCGACAATACTTCGACTACTTATGGTATTATATATGATTATTTGTTTAAATCTCTTATTGCATGCTGTACATCTGGTAACCTAGAGGCCAACACATACATTTGTTAGGATGTTTTGTATACACCGACAATAATAAACCTCCCATCAATATTAAAAGTTTACCAATCGTTACATCTAAAGGTACCAAACTTGGATCTTTTTAGCAGTTCAAACGTTGGATTTTTAAACAAAACCTTGTGCATCAAAAGATGTTGATGACAAAGCCCTTAAATTTAGTTGCAAAAATCACACCAGTCCATTTTCTTTGTATATATCCCCCAAAGCAATATTTAAATTGTTTTCAGAGCGTACCTGAGAAGAAGGCGAAGCCGCTTCGTGGCGCCGCACTCAAGAGTAAATTAAGAAAAGAGCAACGTGAAGGTAATTTATTTTATTTATAAATTTCTAAAATTTATTTTACATTAAAATATTTTACATTTAAATTAGTTTAAAAAATATAATTTTTTTGATTTTTAGCGAAGAAGGGTGATGCGACTTCTTCAACTTCTCACGGCTCCAACTCAATTCTACCATCGGTGGAAGTTGACAAGGTAGGAATGATATGTTTACCTTTTAAATTATTTGTAAACGTATAAATTCTTCATTTGCGTAAACATCCTACCATGTTTTTCATATATTTTAACACTTTTATTTAATTAAATTTTCTATTTGAACGTTCTACAGTGACAAATCTAGAATCACTCTGTAACACATTTTTGAAAAAGTGTTTTATTGCTTCTAAAAAAAGCATGAGATGAGATATAATTTTATTACTGAGGTACTTGATAGTAATATCAAAGTTTGAAAAAATACGTTAAATTTCATTATTGGAACATGCATAGACAGGTTAGATCAAATTTCGTGTTAGATACAGATATCTCTCTTATTAGCATAGATAGAGTTGGTTAAGTGGACAAAAATGATCCTCAAGTATAAGCATAAATAAAATCAAAAAACAAAGTTTACCCACTTTCCTAAATATGGCGAAAAATAACATAAATTACGTTTTTGATTTTTGATTTGCAAATAAGTATTCGGGGAAATATTTAAAAACTAAAATAACTTTCTTTAGGAAACTTCCTGTTTTTTTAAATGTTGGAAATCAGGTCATCTTAAGGAGAAAAATCCTGAGCTCAAAAATGTAGAACATGTTTATAAACAAATTTCAAAATCAAAAGAAAAACTTTGAGAAAATCGATATCCATCCTAATTTCTATAATAAAAAACCTGAATTTAACTTAATTTTTAAATATCTCTAAATAACGATTTGAAAGCCAAAAATCAAAAACGTCAATTATGATACTTCTCACCATATTTAGGAAACTTTAGAGAAAGAAGTAAATTTTGTTTTTTGATTTAGGCATAACTCTGATCATTTTTGTCCATTTAACTAACTCTTTATCTATGCTAATAAGCGAGATCTTTGTACTTAACACGAAAGTTGATACAACCTGTATACAGGGTAAGTGTATATTTTGTTATTGAAGATTTAAATTAAATTCGGGTTAGATGAAAAATAATACAAAATGAAGTTCAAGACGACTGATATTAATATATGTATATCAACTTTTTTGTTAAATGGATCCCATATTAGAATATTACATGATTATGGAGGCTTTCTTATTTTTCTAACGATAATAGCACTACTTATAATTGAACAAAATTTATTATTTTGAGATTTTAATTCAAGTAGATTTAGTTAATGAATTGTTTTATTTTGGCAGCCTACTACATAAAATAGTATACCAGGTATTTCTTCAAAGAATGATAGTTCCATTATATCGAAAATTATAAAAAAGACAAGGAATAAAGTTTTATGTATTTGGGCGTAAAAATTAGTAATATGGAAATAGAAAGAACTTTGTATCATTATTTTCAAAGGGAAACGGAAATATGTCACCCTGTATTTGACTTTTATATGTTGGAAATATACTAGCTACATTTAGATTAATTACAAGAATCTGTATAGTACCGTTACGTCGAATTTGACTTTTAATACGTTAATTTAATAAAAATAATTAGGGCGATCGATACAAATTATAAATTTGATCAATCATCATTAAATATGATTTTAGTAAATTTTAGGAAAGCGAAAAATTCCATTCGACAAAATAAAATAGTTTAAATTTATATATTTATATAAAGTTCAATTTTGCGTTTGAGACAATAGTTATTTATGCAATGAGTGTATAAATGAGGCGTTTTATTGGTGAGTGAGATGTTTAGTCCACGAGCGCAGCGAGTGGACTAAATTCGAACGAACCAATAATCGCCGATTTATACATGAATTGCATACAACGTTTTTTCGTCGACTTCACTGGGGTAGGTAATTTTAAATTCAACTACAAGAAATTACAAACGAAATTATGAGCTCCGACGATTTTTCAATAAATTACAGCTATTGTCGTTGCTATAGTAATGTGTTGTTTTATGCTGTACCGTCAGTCCTCGTAATCGCAGTGGAAGATTATGTTGCTTGCTCTGCTGCGGAGACGATTTTAACATTATATCCACTCAAATCAAAAGAAACTTATTGGAACGGTTTCGATCAGTTCGGCAATTGATGGAATACAATGAATTTGAAAGGAGATATTTCCGAAAATGTCACGTTGACATTTTACCTTGAAAAGGTGTGTGAAATTAGAATGTAATTAATTCTTTTGCAACTGTACTAAAGTACGTGTATTAACAGTGAAAGATATGGAAATGTTCATCCCTGTGGTCGACGTACTCAATGTTGAAGGTAAAGTAACTGAATACCTTAACAATACCTTATCCGAGGAGCTACACATACATACATCAGGATATGCTTTACTGAGATCGTTTGGCGACCATACTGGCTGCTGATCTCACTACATTAAAACCGAGATTAAAATGGTTAGGTGGATGGAAGTTCTCAGCTGTTGCCGAAAGTCAATTGTTATATAATTGTCATTTCCCTTTAATAAAATGGTTATGTATAAGTGGTTGCTAACGTATAATGGTTGGTTGCTAACCATTAATGGTTGCTAACGATTAATAAGCTTCATCATTGTACTCGTCACTAAGGAGTAATTTATATTGTTATCGAGAGGTCGACGAAAAAAATGTATTATTGATTGGGTAGGCATCAGTAATAGTAGTTTTATACAATTACGTTGATTTCTGTCAGTTATGTTGATATTTATTACATCTATATTCCACCATCCATTCTTTAACCATTAACAAAATAGTAAAGTTTATATTTCGAACATAAACATTTTTATAAACACATCTCTTACATTTACGTTCTTCTCAGACTGCACAATCGGGGTCCCAAAAGAAACGCGGCAGAAAACGTAAAGTACTTTCGGGTATCGCGGCCCTAAACGCAGCCAGAAAAGCGGGCACTTTTGGTAGCGAACAGGACACGCCGCTTACTTTGTCGCAGTCAGTAATGCCACCACCCACCTCTACCCCAATACCTGCTACCGCGCTTCCGGTAGAGGTCCTCGTCGAAAATTATTTCGACGAAGTTGACGATTTGGCGATGGCAAATCTACAAATCGCCGAAAATACCGAACGTCGTCTGCGAGTACCTCAACGGGTCACCGACATCACTGCCGGCTATTTGGACACCCTGTTTTACGATCTTGCTCGATACGATCTGATGGCACAATTCCACGATCCGACATCGCAGATGAACGTAAACAGCGTATTCGGCTACATGATGTACGTCGCATACTTGGCGCAGGATGTTATCAAGTCAGTTTTGATTAACATCGGGTACACGATAGGCGTATGGAGCAACGCGCCCGTCTCGTCAACCGTAGGCGCGTGGGGCGATCGTCACGAGTACGAGGTACTGTTCGTCCCGATCTACTTCCCGGGACACTTCGCACTGGTGATTCACGAGCGAAGAGGCCGAACCGTACTTTACGACCCCCTGCCCAACAAAAACCGGTTCGACAACGACAACGCCCGCTACATACCCGCCATCAAGGACGCAATTCGCGAATTCGATCCGTTCTTCGCGTCCAACGACGCCATCGACATCGAAATTGCCGACCCTGCAAGTTACAACGTTCAAAGAGACGGGTACAACTGCGGTTATTACGTCTCTCTCTACGTCGAAACGTACCTCACGAACGACAAAAGGATGCTTCTGGCAGATTTCAATATCGCTACCGAACGTCAAAGGGTTAACGGTTATGCTATTCGAACTGTGTCACGGACGAGTTCCGCAGTACGAAGCCAGACACGACGATCCTTTCCACCCAGTCGAAGTGGACGACGTCGACGAGGAGATGCCGGTCGTCCAACGCATCTCGCCCGCCGAATCCGACTCGGACGTTAGCATGGCGTCTGTATCTTCGACCGATAGCAGACGATCTACCCGATCCGGTAGAAGCAATGCCAGCTACAGCGAGAGCAGAACGACGACCAAGCGCACTTTGAAACCGTTAAAATACTGCAAGAAAAGGCACGGCAAATACGGTTGTTTTGCGAAATGCGCCAAGCACAGAATCGATTACCTCGATTGCGGTAAAATTGGCGACAAGGTGTGCCCGCACTGCAAGGCACTCTTATTTCACGACGAAAACAGCACGATGTGCTGTAAAAATGGCGACGTGGTCTTACCGGAAATCCGACCGGTTCCCGAGGAAATTCGCCAATTGACGAGCGACGCCGTGCACGGAAAACACTTCCTACGGTACTTCCGGATCTACAACATGCTGCTGAGGTTCGGTAGCTTAGAGGCCGGTAGAAAAAAGGCGCCCGGAGGAGGTCCTCCCGTCATACTCATAAACGGCGAAATTAAGCGAAACATAAGTCCGTTGTTCGCTTCCGACGGTAAAACGCCGGTGCACGGTCAACTTTACATGCTGGATCCGATTACGATGCACGAGGCGGTAGCCAGGGATCCCCTCTACTCCAAGTTCGGTATTCGACGGGAGATCCTGGAAAAACTGTTCGCCGTACTCCGACGCTGCCATCCTCTATGCGAAGCTTTCCAAGTGATGCACACGCTTTACGAGGAAGAACTGGCGGAAGTTCGAGAACAGGGCTTCGAAGACGTGCAGCACGTCACGTTGGTTTTGGTAAATCCGAAAAATGTACCGGACACGGTGGCCGATCCCGGTCTGCACCCGCGCACTGTCAACTTGCCGCAGGTTAACGAATTGTGCGCGTTTTACGTTACCAACCAACAAAACGAGCCGATTTATCGTCACGGTACCTGGCTGAAAAAGAACTGCGGCGAAGTAATCCTTTTACCGCTTTATCATCAAACCAACGATTGCGCTCACTACGTCTTGAACTTGGCACACGGCGACCCCGGCTACCACAGCGGTATCGCAAAACGCGCGAATCGAAACGCGCCCAGACGGCGACGTGCGAGCGCACTGGACGACGCCGCCGGACAGAACGAGATTGCTAACCCTCCTGACGCCGTTCACGACGACGACGAGGGCGACGACAAGCACCACGTGTCTATACGAGAATTCTATAGATACCATCTCGCAATTCGCGGCCGCGATCCTACAGCCGCCGCGCACTTTCTTTACCCGTTTGATAGCATCGTTCAGGAGTACATCATCAATCAGAGCATAAAAGTCGATCAACAGGTATATCAGTACATTCATAAGAATGCCGAAATCTTCTGTACGACCGCGCCAAAAGTTAGTCAAGCGCTCGAAAGAGAGCTGCGTCGTGTGGACGACAATAAATAATTGGGGAAGGTGATACGGCTGTCTTCCAGAATGGTCGGTTCTCCGGCCTGGTATCAGCAAATGTTTCACGACGCCATGGCTCTGTTTCAACGAAAGGGAAAGGCGACCTTTATGATTACCTCCACGACCAACCCTTCGTGGAAAGAGATCAGACAGCATTTAATGAGAGGTCAAAATGCTACCGATCGTCCCGATATCGTTAATCGAGTCTTTCTCGTGAAAATTAACAAAATGCGACACCTCATCGAAGACAAGCAAATCTTCGGCAAAGTAAACGCTTTTACTGAAAGTCTCGAGTTTCAAAAGAGTGGCGGACCCCATACGCATCGTCTAATCATAGACTTAGTATCTTACAAGTGAAGGTATAAAAGGTTATTTGAAATTGAGCTATGATTTTGGTCCAAGAGGTTGCGAAGCCAGCCTTGGCCTATTACAATGTTCTAGAATACATAATTTAATGTGATTATATGGAGTATACAAGCTAATATATTCATTAAAAAATACGTAGCAATTTGAGATTTTTACTTCAATTTTTGCAAAAATTTTCCGGATTCCCCTTTTTGCTGCGACCCACCCGTTAGTTTCGACCTTGTATCTTTTACGGTTTACGAGGTCCCCATAGTAAAAATAAAGAAACACCCTGTATACATATATAAATGAATATATTATGAATAATTTTACATCAGCCCATATGAAATTAAATTAAAAAAATTAAAAAAATTCCTTACTGAAGGCGCATTTTATACTATTAATGAATTTAAAGACTGTGATTTATGTGTAATTTAACATGAATGTATAAATGATGTGTTGTTCCCTTTGACTTCTGTAAATGTTTTATTGGCATGTTAACAGTAAATATTATTATTGTAATTATGAGAAATTCCCCTTAGGTAGTCGATGACTTCTTCGCGGCGGTATTCCCTAACCTTGTTGAGGATTCTTTGATCGGCTTCTTCATATTTTCGTCTTTTCCTGTTTCCCTCGAACCCTGCAATGAACCTTTCATAATCCGCATCGACAGGGTTGGGCAGTATTTGAAATATTTGTAATTGAAATACAGTATTTAAAATACATATGTATTTTCAATACTGTATTTTAATTACACGATGTAAATGTATTTTGTATTTTAAATACACAAAAAAGTAAATCTTCCATAACTATCGCCGATAGAGCGTTTTACACTAGATCTGATTTTACCGTCTAAAGGTAGAAGTTCTTCACTTGTCACTTATGTATGGCTTTATATGAGTGCCGGTTGCGTACGTGGAGTCACACAATCACACGTCACATTTCAGCATTCTGTGCGCAATCGCATTCGTGTAATATATGATATTTACACTGCTACGCCATTTGTAAACGTGCACATTTTGTTTAATAATTATTGTGACGGTCGTGCGATAATTTTGTTAAAAAATTGGCAATTATTATATGCTTATGTCGATGATGGAAGGTCGAAACGAAAAGGAATCAGTCTCAGAATCGGTTGAAATGGACGAAATTACTTCTCCACTTTCTGTTCCTGTAATACGAGGACGGGTCAAATGAAAGTGAGCCAATGCAAATAAATGACAAACACAGTACTTTATTTAAAAGTAGTCTCCATGAACATTAAGACATTTGTCCCATTGACTAACGAGCCGCGTTATTCCCTTCTCATAAAATTCCTTGGGCTGCTGTTTCAAATAATCTGTAACAGACTCCTTCACGGCGTCGTCCGACACGAATCTGGTACCCTTGAAATTTTTTTTAAGTTTTTCGAAAAGGCGATAAATCCGGGCTGTATGGAGGATGTTGAAGCGTTTCCCACTTGAACTCCTCCAGTTTTGACTTAATCACATCAGCAACGTGGGGGCGGACATTCGTGTAGCAAGATCACGCCATCCGTCAATTTTCCAGGTCGTTTGTTCTTGATTGCGAGACGCAACCTATCCAGTGTTTCACAATATCGCGAACTATTGATAGTCTCTCCAGGTTTAGCAAATTCGATCAGTAATGGCCCATGATGATCAGCTGTCAAAAACCTGACCACACCACGCTGTTCCTCGTTTGGAGCGTCCATTATGTTACACAACCGACTTAAGCACAGTGTATGAGTGCACTAAAGAACTTTAACCTCACACTTTCGTGTCACTTTCGTAAATTAGGAATGCCTCTGTGCTACGCGCATGCGTCGCAGAGGATTGACCGAACCATTATTGCGCAGGGTGGGTTGGCTCACTTTCATTTGACCCGTCCTCGTACTTCAAGGAAAATATTTCAAAATCACGCATCAAGATCCAAATAACCCAAATAAAGTTAGAGCCCGGTGTTTATTGTGTACTAGTGCACATAACAAAAACAATGAAATTAGTGGAACTTTAAAAGCCACCACCAACTTTAAAACACACTTAAAGGTAATGTGATAATAAATAATTAAAGCAATAGTAGTTATTTTATTTCTTAATTTTTGTTGCAGCGACTACACAAGGAAGCTGTAGATGAATTCGAGAAATATAAAGTTGAGCATAAAGTAAGAGGGAAAAGATCATGTGAGACTACAGATCCTCAAACACCAAAACTAAAACAATTAAAACTGTTTGAAGTGAACGAAGCTGTTCAGAAACACACTAAGCAGCAAAAATTTGATAATAATATTATTAACTACGTAGTTCGTAGTATGCGGCCGCTTTCAACGGTGGAAGATGAAAGTTTTAGAAAAATATTTACAGGTAAATCATTTTTGTTAAGAACACATTACTAAACACAATTTTAGATATCGACCCAGGTTTGCAAATCATGTCAAGACGATCATTGGGACGGAAAATTGAGGATTTGTTCAGTTCAATCCAAAAAAAATTAAAGCAGGTATTCCAAACAGTAAAGTACATTTCAACTACAACTGATGTCTGGTCTACAAAACACCGAAGTTTTATGGGTGTTACTGGTCCATTGGGTACGAGGTGCCATATTATACTTTCTTATTTTAACTCAACATTTTTAATTTTAGATTGACGAAAATACACTAGAGCGTATTAGCATGTACACGATTCAGAGGCACTCATTCGTACGATAAAATTGCTGAAATGTTATATGACATAAATTCCGAATATGGACTCGATAATGAAAAAAATTGTGTCAACAATTACAGACAATGGCAGCAATTTTGTCAAAGCGTTCAAGGAGTTTGGATTCCAAACTGTGCAAAAAAATGGTAGTTACACATTTAAATACAATAATGTAATATGTATTACATTAAGTTTTTTCTTCAGCTAGTGAAGACATTGACAACGAAGATGAAGACGAAGACGATGATATAGAGTTTTTGAATTTTGATGAAGATGATTCCTCTTCTGTAGTATTAGTATTACCAAATCATTTAAGATGTGCAAGTCACACATTAAGTTTAGTGGCCACAACAGACCTGCAAAAAATTATAAGGGAGGCTTCTCCAATGTCCCGAATACATCATCCAGCAATTGCAAAATGTACAGTATTGTGGAATATATCACGAAAACCAAAAACTGCTGAAATAATTAAGAATACACTGGGCTGCAGTTTGCTGTACCCGTGCCCTACCAGGTGGAATTCACTTTTTGATTCATTATCTCAATTAATGAAATACCGAGAAAAATTAAACAATTTAAATAAAGAATTGGCTTTGCCCGACTTTAAAGAAATTGAGTTGGAGTACTTAAAGGACTTCCTCACCATTTTGAAGCCTGTGGCTACAGCACTGGATTGTTTGCAAACAGAAGAAAAATGTTATTACGGACAACTTATACCTACATTGTTTTCG